TTTAAGATCTGATTGAATATGAACCCATTTTTTTTCATGAATGCTGTGTGAGTCTCAACCAGGGGGTGTGCTAAGGCTGCATAAACAAAAACAAACATTATTTAAAGGGACACTATAGTAACCAGAACAACTACAGATTATTGTATTTGTTCTGGTGAATATAATCATTCCCTTCAGGATTTTTGCAGTAAAAACTGTTTTTTCAAAGAAAAGGCAGTATTTACATAATGGCCTAGGGATACCTCCACTGGCCACTCCTTAGAGTGCTACTAGAGGTGCTTCCTGTGGCAGTGCTGCACAGTGTACAGCACTGACATTCAGTGTCTCCATCCTCTGCGTGGAGACACTGAACCTTCCTCATAGAGATGCATAGATTCAATGGGAAAAGACAATATGGGGGCTGGCTAGGGAGAGACAGCTTACATTGCACACACAAAAACATTATAATGCACACACTTACAATGCATTTACAGAAATGCAATCATACACACATACAGACACTTTTTGCAAAAACATAGGAATACCAACATACACACTACTACTAATAATACACAATACTGACATTGCATGCCGAGGAACACTACCATTCATACAAACTGACATTGTGCATGCACATACCAACACTGGAACACAAATTACACAGATACTTACATTGCATATACAGGAACACTAACATCTACACATGCTGACATTACATACACATACAAACACAAGAACACCAACATACATCCTGTGTATATTGACATTGTACATACACAAACACTGAAGTGCTGATGGGGATTGTATCTTGTTTTAACTTTGTTTCTTCTTTATTTTTTAGTAGTGCACAAACTATCTCTGAAACTATGAATGTTTTCTTATTTGTATTTTTTTTAAACCCTCTCATTATATTTTTTTCATTCTCCAGCTGTTCCCTATTTTATCTTCTATTTTAAGCTAAGTTTGAAATTTCATTGAATATAATAATAATAAAAAGTTTAAAAATAACCACAAGAATACCAAAAATATACACGCACTGGCATTGCATGCACACACAAGTACAAGAACACAAACAAACATGTACTGACATTGTACATGAACAGAAACATTACGTGAAGTCTCTTGTGCCCAGTTGTTTGTATGTATGTATAAATTGTATACATTAAGTCTTATTATTTATAAAGCACCAACAAATTCCACAGCGCTGTACAATATGAGGCCTAACAGACATGTATTTATAACCAGATGAGTTGGACACACAGGAACAGACGGATTGAGGGCCCTGCTAACATTCATCCCTCCATTCCAAGCTTACATTCATCCCTCCAATCCTATTTTCATGTACAATTCAGCCCTCCACAACACACAATTTTGACACCAATGCTCTAAAATGTATAACATCCACAAATGTAAATGTTTTGATGTTTTATTTCAAACATAAGCAAATACAATTTACTTTTGGATGAATTAAGAGCTAAATGTTATAACCAGATCAGAAATAGTGATTTAAAAAAAACTTGAACATATTTATTAAGTTTAATTAAGAAGGCAGGAATAATAGTTTCTTAGTAAATAGTCAAACAAAAAATGTTAAAATAAAGTATGCTAAACCACCAAAATTGTAGCTAAAAGATATATGTATTTGTTGTTAATACAAAATTCCACAGAGCTACTGTAGTAATGCTATTTATTAACATATAATGTCACTTCAAGCAAAGAAATATACTATTAAGGGGCTCACTGTTAATTTCCTTACTCTGAACGAGATGCATTCAGAAGACATTTATATCCTCCTTACAAGGCATCTCTGATCATGGGTAGTGGGGTTTGGGAATTATTAGACATTAGTATATTTCTCCTCAACATTGCAGTTTAATTTAAGGAGACTATAAGTAATTTTATTGTATCGTTTAGTAGATTGGTGCCCTTGAAACCCCAATAGAGAGAATTTGGGGGTGGTGTGCACAGCCATTTAATACAGATTCTACAATGGTGTGTTTTATGGATGTGTTTAAAGTTTCTACAGTTTTTGATACAAATATAAGGTTGTATATAAGCTACTCTTTTTTTTTAATAAACTAGTTGTATGTAGGTCGATACTAAAGAATTTAAATGTTTATTCAAGGATTTTAAGAGCATGCACCACACATGTTTATAGTTAAAGAAACACTCGAGGCACAAAAACCATTACAGTTCACTGTAGCAATGCAAAGCTTAGTTAATTGGCTGAGAGTGATCAGCTTAACCTTTTTAGTCTCACAACTCCTCATAAAGTAAACTTAAAATTCTCCTCCCCCCTTTCAGAAAGTAATTGATAATGGATATATTATGTAATTAACATGAAAATGTTATTCTTATAATATATTATTAATTATTTGCATCATTTTTTTATATCTATATATAATATAGTATTATTTTTTGTATATACAAAACACTGCAGTTTTGCAATTCCATTACAGCCAAGGTAGCATGTGAACCTATATTTAACCCATATTAGTCACTATACTTCCTATTTTTTTGTTGACATTTTCTCTTAGGGCACAAAATTGTAATATATACTCTTCTAGCAGCAGTGTTAATAATGGCATAACTTCTAGCATTAAAGAAGAAAGATACACTGTCTTGGAAAATTTAATTAAAATTCAACTGTCTTGGAAAATCCATTGTTGCAATCATTCAGACTGTGCATTGCAATCTAACAATAATGGTTGCCGAGTGCAGAGTTTTCGTATGACTGCTCTTCTACTGTTCTTGTGATTGTTGTAAGCAAGTGTTGCGTGAGTCAGTTCTAGCACGGAGGTTTGGTACAAGATTAAATTTAATTGACATTTAGTCTTCATTTTCAGGTTCATTTAACCTCACAGGTTAAGAGCCCCTGCTAAGCTAATGAGCTAAACGCTGCATTGCCATGATAGTAGAGATACAGTACCCAGCAGAAAGCAAGTAATATTTTAAACTTTTTAAAAACAGTTTGACTTCTTACAATGGAACAGATGGTTCCATGACACGCCTCGCGCCATAACTACTACAGTGGGCTGTATAATTTAATGCGTCCGGTGTGTTCATTTAATGCAGTGCTAGAGACACATTTTTATGTAAAGGACACATGGCAGGGTATCATCTTAAGTGAATAAACAATGCAAACATTTTCAGTGAATGGGGGATTTTTATTCCCAATAACATATTGTATTAGTCTATGGAACCAATAATCTCAGTCATATTTTAGATGGTCATTGAGATTAGGGCCTGTAGGTGATTATTGCCATTAAGCACAGTACATTATAACAATGATGCAGTGATTGGGAGGCAATTAATAAATAGAAATTCAATACAAAGCGAGTGGAGTGTGGAATTGATCGATAAACTTAACATTTATATTGTGGCTGCTTTGGAACAATCAAATCATGGGCCTGGAGCTGCTACTCCCATAGCCCGTATGTTAATCTGGCAATGGGTGACTTACTAAACAAGCTGCAATTAATGAACAATTCCCAATTTATGCTATCTATTTTTCTCTTTTTTTTATTTTTCTATTTTGATTTCAGTAATAGAGCGGGCTGTCCAGTGATTGGTGAGTTTGCACTACAATAACAAAAATCATGCAAAGAGCAGTATTATTTTAAAGGTTCTTTGCTACGGTGTTGCCCTATTAATGTTGTATATAACTGTATTTACCTTTTCAAGCCTTTATGTAACTGATACTTGAGTTATCTTTAAATGGTTTCACTGCCTCATCCTCTTCGACATGAAAAGCAGAATGAAGAGCAGAATGAATCGATCCTTTGGATTTCAATTTCTTCTGCTTTTTTTGCCTACCCACCATGAAGTATATATATGGATTGACAGCACTGCTGAGAACAGTGCATAAAATGCTGGCAAAAAAAAAAAGCATAGTTTGGAATCCATTTGGCAAATACCTTAAGTGCAGTAGTAGCCACATAAATTTCACTGGCACAGTAGCTATAAGAAATACAAAGACGGTAATTATAATGATAATGTAGAGTTTAGGAGTACGACACCTTTTGGACGTCTTTTGAATTCTTATAAGTAAAATGGTGCTTGAAAATATCATCAGTGGAACAGAAATACAAATTGATATTACAAATGACATTGCCTGAACCCCTGTGCATTGCACTGACTCAATTGAGAAACATTTGGGGGAGCACACAATATTTTTAAGGCAGCTAATAAGACAGGCAAAAAACCAAATGGTTAAACAAACTATTAATGATTGGTGTTTTGGGCGATGGCAACGGTACCAGATTGGATAATAAACAGATACACATCTCTCTATGCTAATAGCAAGGAGGAAGAACATACCTCCTTGGTATGAGCTATCACAGACAATCTCTAAAACTAGATGAGTATTAGCTACTCCATGTGAATAGGGATGAATATCCATTAACTGATCGACTTGTAGCATCATAAGAATAGCATTGGAGAAAAGGTAAATAATGTCGGCAATCATCAGATTGATTATATACACTGTGTAGGTGTTCACAGGGATTCTAAAGCAGAGGAACCAGAATGCAACACCATTCCCAAGCATTCCAAAAAGACAAACTACAAAAATGCAACAGGCAGCAATTGTAAAATGTATGTCAGGGGAATCTCTTGGTTTATAAAGTCCATGTTCACTTGCTTCGATGTTGGACACAGACATGATGTTTTCTGACACTGGACTATGTGCAGTTTCTTCAGTATGCAGTGGCTATCTAGAAGAAAAAAATGCAAACATAAAATATTTTTCATACAGCTCACAGAGAGATAGCAGTAGAATGTAAAATCGTTTTTAATTGTTTAGAAATTATTAATATCACATTAGACAGAGGATGGAAGCAGATATAATATAAATAACAGAAGAAAGAAAAGCATGAAAAACTCACCTTATTTCCAGCGCCGCGTGGGTCTGCTGCCATTGGCACCGCCCCTTGGTGACATAATCAGAATTGACAAATTTTAGCCAATCCAATGCTTTCCCATGGGAAAAGCATTGGATTGGCTAAAATCGGCAAGGGGGCAGGGTCAAACACCATTTTGGCCAATCAGCACCTCCTCATAGAGATGCATTGAATCAATGCATCTCTATGAGGACAATTCAGCACCCCCATTCAGAGTGTGGGGAAGCTGAATGGCAGAGCTGCCTACTCTGCAGCACTGAGCCAGGAAGCACCTCCAGTGGCCTCTAAGGTGTGGCCACTTGGAGGTGTCCCTAGGCGCAATGTAAACAATGCATTTTCTCAGAAAAAGGCAGTGTTTGCATGAAAATGCCTGCATATAATGATTATACTCACCAGAACAATTACATTAAGCTGTGGTGACTATAGTATCCCTTTAAAGAGGACCACTGTGTAAATCATGAAGCTATAGTGCATCTAGTGCAATGTTGATACCTTTCAGCACTGCAATTATGTGGCTGACCAATTAATTACCTGTTCTTATTTATACCCTCACTACAGACAGAAGCATGTCCGGTACATCACCTGTACACCAGTGCACTATACGGTGTCTATATACAAAATTAAAAGATCCAGGCACAGCGTGGTTTTCTATGTTTACCTCTATGGTGAACAACTGGCAAGTTTAGTTGCGGTTACATCGTTATTATTATTTGAATCTACAATTGTTATTAATACCATATGACGGGTATTTATATTCAATAAATTAAAGTGTTAAGACATGAAATTACGGCCATTACAAGTACTTTTCACTTGTTTCTTGTTTATTTCAGCTTGAATACCACCAGCGAACACAGTTGGGTTGTTCCTACATTATCGATACATGGTTATTTGGAGTTATCAGTAAGATCAAGTTGTACGTTATATGTTCATTTTAAATGGATTATCTACGCTCACATCAGAGAAAGAAGGATAAGGCCCTGGGGGGATATGTCTGGCTTTGGCTTCTGGTATCCAGTACTCTTTTTACATTTCTTGGTTTTTCAGTTTTTTTGTCTGTCTAATTTTCTTTATTGCTGGGATTTCTGGGTTCATTCCTGTAATCCATCCCTGAGATTCCCAGTCTCCAGGTTTCCTTTAAATGTTTGTTTTATGTTGCCACACCCGTTTGTTTTCCATTTTCCTTTTGTTTCAGTCTGGACCTGCAGCAGTGTTTCAAGTCTCTGCCCTTTCTTGCAGGTAAGTGCCATTGTGGTTTAGTATGGTTCTTTTAGCGAACATTAGGCAGTGTAGGACCTGCCAAATATGGGGTACATTGGCGTTGTGGCAGGCTTATGCAATGTATGATTATATAATGTAACTAAATCCCCATACTTTTTATATATTGCTTAGTTATGTCTCCTCTTGTTTTACTTTGTATCTCTTGTCTTGTTTTACTTTGTCTTGTATTCCCAGTTCATGTACAGTCCTGCCCTGCCCTGTTCTTGTTTTCCCTCATGTCTTGTGTACATGTTCTGGGTTCTACTTTCTGTCCTGCTCTGGTTCTGGGTTCTCCTAGTTTTGTCTTGTTTTCATGTATGGTGCCTATCTTTAGTCTTGCCTTGCTTCAGTACTGGATACACTACTGCTGCAGAGCCTCCCTATTCAGCTCCTGGGAGGTCTGCTTAATTGCAAGTTCCTGGGATCCGCATAAGCTGAATCACAAACGCTGGTGCTCAACACCAGGGGGCGTGCAGTTACCCAGCACCAGGCCCTGCTTATCCGCCTCCACACTGTGACTCCTACTCTGACCATCAGGCATACTGGGTCCCGGTCCTCACACCGCCGCCCGGACATTGTCTGGGTCCCGGGCTCCACAGCGCCACCCATGATACCCACAATGTACATCACAGTATAACCATAGACATATAAAAACAGCCTAAGAAGACACAGTTTTCCACACAGATCCCAACCGAAGGGGTATACCGGGATACCCCTACACCACCAAGTTCAGAGCCATCGACGAGCTTGAACCGACCAATAACACACATAATAATTCTCAGTAACACAACAGTTAAGTCCCATGCCAGAAAACCCTGTTCACCCTATTTTCCTATTTAACCCTGGCTACAGCTAAGTGCTTGATCGCCTTAAGCCACATGAGTGCCCTCCACCCAGCCGGAATAGCGCCAAGTTCCAAGCCCTCTTGAAATCCCAGGTTGAGAAAATGTGTCTGAAAGATGCATTCCATCTCTCATAAAATATCCAGGGAGCATGTAGTCCAGCTCTACATGCCTAACCATTATGCTCCCAAGTTGCCTGATGAAGACTGACATCAACTTGTTCACCTTGGCCCTACATTTTGCGACCACTACCTGATCACTGGCATGCTGCCAGTTGAAGCTAGGCACCATCTCGGACTAAATCATAACCACCCCCGGAACAAGGCCTCATAACTGCTCCATATCCCTCTTCATGTAACTGACCAAGTCCCTCTGAGGAATAGCCAAAGAAAAAAGTTACCTGCACTCTCTCCTAAGTCCCTATGTATATTTAAACAAATGGAGCTTATTTAGTTACTCCAATGGCCATTGGAGGGAATGCCCATCTGCCACATCAAGGCAAACCCTGTAGGTGTGTCCTACACTGACCTGTCACCTTGCTTCCTTGAGCTTCTGGCAAAGATATCTCTAATGAGACAGAGAGGTGTATTTTTTATATACACCCCTTCATACTTATTAAACCTTAATAGGGAACAAATAGGATGGGATATGCATTACTGATGTGTCAGAGACCTCTCCCTCCCTAGCGTTTCCGTTACTTGACCTGGAAGAGCTCCTACTAGTAGAACTGGATGCCCTGCATCCCCTTTCTAATATATATATATATATAACCTGATGGCGTTATTGGACTGCAAGAAATGCACCGCAGGCCATAAAAGTTTCTTTTTTTATATGTCCCAATATTTTGGGGGCTACCCCAATAAAAAACAAAAAACAAACAAATAAAAAACAGTGTTGGCTGCCTCCACCACCGCTTCCACCTACACCATCACGGTCACCGCCTCCTCAACCTCCTACTCCACATCCACCTCCTCCTCCTAGAGCAGGGTGCAAAAGCAGAGTGGCCATCCCCTAGACAGTACGCCGGCTACTGCCCACCTCACCCATGGACCAAGCACACCAAAGCCAGCTCCAAGGAATTCCCTGGCGTGGCAGTTCTTCAGACAATGTGCTGATGACAAGACACGAGTGGTTTGCACGCTGTGCAATCAGAGCCTGAAGCAGGCATAAACATGCTAAACCTGAGCACAACCTGCATGACCAGGCATCTACATGCAAAGCACGAGCTGCAGTGGAGTAAGCATCTCAAAAATCAAGAAAGTCTCAGGCGCCTCCTGCTTCCTCTTCTGCTGCTGTCTCGGCCTCTTCCTCCACCCCGCAAACAGAGGATGTGGCAACAGCGCCACCACGTCCGCCACCGTCCCCAAGCATCTCCACACTGTCCATGGAAGTGTTCAGCTGTCCATCTCCCAAACACTGGAGAGAAAGAGGAAGTACCCCCCTACCCACCCATGATCCCTGGCCCTGAATGCCCGCATTTCAAATTTCCTGGCCTTTGAAATGCTGTCATTCCGTCTGGTGGAGACAGACCGTTTTAAAAACCCTAGGGCAGAAAAAATCCTTGCACAGGCCCTGGAGTTACTGAGGGAAGCTGCAAAAAAGTACTAGGGCATGCAGAATATACTGCACTATTGGAGTTTCCTTTTATATTTTCTATATTGCCATTTTACTGGAATATTGGAGTCATCCACTTCTACATAGATCCTTAGACGGGGATTGTTCCGTCCATGTGAATTACGGTAGAACTCCTGGTTAGCTTTATCAAATGTGAGTGTATATTGCTCTAATCCACTTCACCACTTATCAATTATCAAAAACAATATTGCACTATTGTTTCCTCTCTGTTTTTATCTTTGAGGTTATATGCAAATCATTTAAGCAAAATTCTTTATGTACATATATTTTAGTAAATACTATCTGGGGCGTGGTTCCTCTCTCCTTTTTGTTTGAATTCCTTTTTGTTTGAATTCCTTTTTGTTTGAATTCCTTTTTGTTTGAATTCCTTTTTGTTTGAATTCCTTTTTGTTTGAATCCTTGTATTGGTTACCGCTGGCTGCAAACCTTTTTATATTGGAGTGAGCACCTATTATATTCTTTTCTATATCAGTTTTAAAAACCTGATGGCGTTATAGGACTGCAAGAAATGCACTGCAGGCCGCAAATGTTTCTTTTTTTGTATGTCCCAATATTTTGGGGGCTACCCCAATTAAAAAAACAAAAAAACAAAAACAAATAAACATTGTTGACTACCTCCTCCTTCACTGCCGCTTCCACCTACACCGCCACGGTCACCGCCTCCTCAACCTATGGGTCACTTAGTATAAACTATGTACACAAAAGCAGAGGCTTGTGAAGGCCTTTTCTCCATGCATCAGGAGTTGAGCTCAGTTTGAACAATGAAAGAGAATACCCTGCACTCCAACCCTCTCTCAAATGGATAATTCTGATGATCCACATGACAGCCATGATTTATGTTCTTCCAAAGCTAAAATCAAAGATTCCATCTAGTGCTATTTTATGGCTCAGCTGTATTTGAAATTTTCATGTATTTTCTGTTATTTTAAGTGATTTCCCTATCCACATTTGTTTACAGGGCACTTGTCCTACTCTTATCCCCATTTTACTTCCTTTTGCAGCCCTCTAGCCCTTTCCAGGACTTTGTTAGAGGCATTTTACTGCCCAAAAATTTATTTTACTCTCTCCAACACCCCCACTGGAGGACTCGAGGAGTGATATCCTTGGTGGGGCTCATACCACCTACTCCTACATATATTGAGCAATATCCTATTTGCTCTGCACCTGTGAGTATACCTCCATGTTTTTAATAATTTTATTTTGTATTATCTAGAGAACACTATTTTGTGTTTTTATCCTTTTTATATATTACCAATTATTCGAATACCGGCCTACTGCCATTGGAAAGGAGATATACCCTTCCACCACTGGAGACCCCCTTTTTGAGGACATCCAAGGACCATCTACTTATCCATAGGTGGGGATTGTACTGTCCAGGCGCACATATCTGGAGCTTAGTATAGGCTCCAGAAAATTGTAAGAGAAATTCCTTTCCCTTCATTTAACATCACTTAAGATCTCAATATACTACACTATATCCGTGTCTTTTTCCTTCCCTCCTCCATATTGCTCTGAACGTGGGAATACCTTCACAGGCACTGCTCCCTGATCCTACTACCTACATCCATCGTACCACCAGAAAAGAAGAGACTCTGGTTT